TATCTACTATTAGTTTCCCCATATATTTTCATTCCCACAAAAAGCTCATAGTCTTTTTCCTTTGTCTTGTCACTTCTCTAAAAATGTGTTGTTCTTTTGTTAAGATGCTATGTCAGCCAAAGTTCTAACCGCCCCTTTTGAGTTACTCATTACTAAATACTCCCATGTGTGCATGTGATGCACGTGTTAATAAACTCCTGTTTGTTTTTCTCTTGTTAAGGTCTTTTCTTAGTCTAATTTATGGAGCTCCAGTCTCAGAACCTGGAACCTAGAACCTTTTCTCCCCTTGCACTGGCATACGTCACCCAACTGTTTTAGGGGTTTGTAACATAAAACTCCAAATAGAATGGAAGAAGTTCCAAAAATATTTAATTTTACCCCTTCCTTTTATAGATGACAAAAGTTCAAAGCTTTGACTAATATTATGTTAAATTGATTAAGACAAACTGCTGGGGAGAGAAAGAGTTGGCCCAGGATACTGAGTCTTTTCTATAAGAAGGAGCCATGTTTGGAGACCATTTGCTTTAAAAAGGATGAAAGTCATGTAAGTCTAGGTCTAACTATTTAACAAGGGTTTGGGCTCTTGGTTTAAAAAAAATGAGCATGTGCCACTCTCTGTATCACTCATCCACTTTGGAAATGAGTCCTAAAGTTTGCCAGTGAGAAAACAACCCAAACGAGAAGATCAGGAAGGAGGCTGTGCCACTGCATAACAGAGGCGGAATTGGGATGCAGTTTACTCTTGGATGCCTGAGTGGTAACAAGACCTGTACATTAGCAAATGTACATCGTCAGGGACAATTTTACGCCCTCTTGAGCAACTTCACTGCTGAGAAGGTGACCATGCTCCTCATTCCTCAGACAAGCACAGATAGCTTTCTCTCTCCTAGCTGCTTCCACTGAGCACTCCCTCCCTCTGTTATTTATTAAAATGTGCAATACACCAAGAAAGGGAAAGATTATCCCGTTTCCTGCCGTGCAAGACGGTGTGCAGATGGCCAAGGTTAAATGCAGCATTTGGTTTCTTAAGCTTCTTTAATGGGTAAGTGGAAAAGCAATCTGGGACCAGAGCTTGCAGCAGTGACTCTCTGAGGATTAAAACTTGACTTTAATTTGGACTCCATGGCTAAGATTAAATCTGTTTCTGCTATCATTATCCCACTTATGTCTGTCCCCACTCTGTTTCCACTCTGCCACCCAGCTGAGTGGGAAGAAATTAACATGACCTTGAAGAAAACTCACAGAATCGTTAAGACCTCGGGTTTTCAAGAGCCAATAAAATTCTAGAGGCCTGCTAACATTTAGATCATAGATTCATAGGTCTGAAAAGGAGTTTAAAACTCATATAGCCCACACATTTAACAGATGAGGAAAACAAAGTCCAGAGAACCAAGGTGACCTGTTCAAACTTGTTAGCTAGTTGGAAGCAGGTCAGAACTAGAATGAGGCCTCAAGCCCTCAAGCTCCCCATTCCCATGGTACCATGACTAGGCTCCAACCATGTCCACTTCATCTCCAGATCACTTAGGAAGGAACACGCACACATCAGGGCTTTTACACAATGTTTGGAATTTTCCTTGTGCAAACGAAAACACCCAAGGAACAGTCTGAAGAAGAGCCATCTCAAACGTCATAGAAAGGAGATATTTATTTCACCATTCTTATGCTTATGTGGTCTTTATTCAGATCAAAATTATATATTGAAATTAAAAATTTCCATGTTTTTTTTTCTATCCAGGAAAGATTAGGCCATATTTCTTCCCCAAAAGTTAGTTCCTTCCATTTATGTTTCTGATCTGTGTGTAACCAACACACTCAAGTTTCAAATTCTGGCACAGCCTACACTGATAAACTACAGCAAAAAATAGGAGTATGGATTTATAACCATCCTGGAACCAAAGGTTCAATTCAGCTCACAGATGCATTTTGTTTGTCTTATACTGTTTTCAAAATTTGACTTTGAGTTTTATACCCAAGTTATGCTTACTACCTGGCCCCTGAAAATCTTTGTGTTTATGATCTATGCTTGGAGAACTTCTTTCCAAACATAGGTAGGGTAGGCAGGTATTGAGTCTCAATGCAGAACATAAAGACAAACCTCCACTCTGGACCATTAGTCCTCCTATAACCCTGCGGATTAAACGTAGTTAATGAAGTCAGTCCCCTATCTGGTCCTCTGTGAAGTGAGAATACTTTAAACTTATATCTGTCTTGAAACAACAACCTGGTTTTGTAAATGCGAGTTATTGCATGGAATTGAGCTAAAGAGTGAAAAAAATTATACTGCAATATCATGGGAAACCCTGATGAGAACTATTTGGAGAATTTTAGATTTAAGTTTAGAGTAACCTGCCAGTGCTGCTCTTTTTTTCATCTCAAATGACCTCATTTAAATATACCTATACAAGCCACTTCCACTGATTTTTTTTTCTGAAGACATCTGTATAGTCCCAGAAATAATTGTTATCTTTCAAAGTTCTTTTAAACAAAAAACCCGAATTACTGGTTTTTCCTGACAATCTAACTTGCACAGTTCTAAATTAATACCTCTGAGACAGATTTTGAATAATGTAAAAAGGTAAAGCCCACATGAAAATAAAAAAATTAAATAGAATTTAAGCTGTCATATATGAATTTAGTTTGCCTTTATTCCTTTAATAATCTTCAAACAAAAACACTTTATTCTACTTCAAAAATATCATTACCTTTGCAGTTTCTTTTAAATAGTTTTCTTCTTAAAAAGTTCAAATATTCCATGTTCCACAAAACATATTTCAAAAACAATATTTCAAAATCATGGAATTCTCCATTTCCTTTACACATGCCTATAGTAAAGGAAAAAAACTCCTTTTATTCCTATTGATATAGATTTATTCAAAATTAGTTTTTTATCTACTTGGTAATACTTTTACAAGTTTTTACCAAATCACTTTTTTTGGTTGTTATCCATTAGATCTACAGAAGAAGTTGGAGTACTATCGTACCAGTGTATTTATTAAGTTTGTAAGTTAAAACTCCAACAGTAAAAAATTAGAACATTACCTCAGAGTTATAGAGAAAGAATTGAGGCTCTGAGCCTTCATTTGTTGCAGAAACAAAACAAAACAGCCCCTGGATTTCCATGGCAAACCGTAAAGAGAACTTTTGGAAATTATCCTAATACAACTTATTTTCATGAGGCTGAGTGGTTACCTCTTCTAAAGTCTCATCAACAGTCATTGAAATGGATTGTCTGCATTCGGCTTTAACTGGCTGATGGAGATGCATAAGCTGTAAGTGTTCAGGAAGGCTGGTGTCCGCAGACCTCAGCTGCAGGGACTCCTGGATGATACACAATGACTAAAGTCAGAGCTGAGTGCTCTCCTCCCTCAGACTGGGGCAGGTTTTTTCTTTGGTAATTGCACTTATTTTGATGACTTGGAAAGAGGAAGTGTTTAATTACATGGTGCACGGATACATCTAATTTAACTGCTCTCAAAAAGTATTAAGCTCATTCTGTGGGATAATAGAGTTGAATTCCAAATGCAGAAAACATTAGGATTATTGTAATCATGCATCTTGTAAATCTGACTATGTCTACTGTTTCCGTAGCTGTCAAGTGTACAGTAAAGACTTTTAAAACTCATTTCGGTCCTATGTCAAAAGTAGTACGTTGTCTCATACTTGTGATATTTAAAAAAATAACAACTTCAAACCCGTCTCAGGAAAATGTCCAAATTGAAAGTAGCTATGACCCAAGTGCCAGGGAAAATACAATTATTCATCTCACCCAAATGTTTTCATTTCCAGGAAAACTTTGGGCCACCACTGAGAATCCAAGTTCATATGAAAAATGTTGGTTCTAAAATAACAAACATAGCAAATGAAGTTGGTTCTAAAAGGCTAAGTCTCTAATTTACTTGCCTTTCTGCCTGTGTACCAATTTCTTGTGACTTTTGTATACTTTCCTATTTGGGCCCTAAGAATGCAATGGCTATTGCCATCCTAGGGTAGGAGGACCGCATGCCCCACCATCAGGCGTGGGGGGGGGGGGGGGGTGTTTCCTCTGAAATGAATGCATAGGCTGCCCACTCTGCCAGACTTTGTCACTGCACTACAAATGTACTAAGTCATCTGAAATCTCACGCAGAAAAACATCATTATGAAAGTCTAAAACCGAGCTATTAATTTCTGGATCTGATGTGTTGATATCACAGTCACTATGTTTTGAAGCTAATTATTTTAAAGGCCTCTACGTTAAGAAAGGTTTTCTGAACTCTAAAGTTAAATATTCCTGAGTGCTCCGATCCATTGCTCCTCAATGATAGTAGGTTAAAGATGAACATTCACGATTAGCCTGAAGTATCTTGGTTGCCCTCAAGCTTCACAGTAATAATACAGAAGCCTTATTACTTTTTAAAATAACCGTTATAATGCATACTCGTGAGGCTCTCGGCATGAATCTAGAGTACTTGTTAGTCAAGGGAGTGATGGTTGGAATCTGGGACATAAGACTGGGGCTAAATTTCTTTACCCTCCTAACCCCAGAGAGTCTTTAGAAAAATAGAAACAAAAGAGCACAAAGTACTTAAGGTAAGACACTGTCGTATTCATAATATAGAGAAATAACCACCATGCCTCATGGACAGGAGATACAGTTCTCCGCGGGGCTACAAAACGGTGCTAGTAATAATTTTAATTGGATGCTATCTTTGCTGCCTTCAAAAAGTATCATAAAGTGGAATTATTACAGGCTACAAATGCACTTACAGTGCCGGCCTCTCACCGGAGGAGGCAGATAACATTTATCCTTGGGAGGGTAACATCAACGGGGTTCTATCTGTTCCCTTCACATGCATCCCCAGTTGCCTGCTATGTGCTTCCCCTGCCTCTGTCTAAAGAGATCAATTTGAATTAGACGCTGCAGAACTGGACGCTAAGTTTTGCTGGCCTCTGCGTTGGGGGAGGGCACAGCCCCATGGAAAGGGCCTGCGTGGCCCTGGGCCGGGCGGAGGGCATACCTGCAGAGGGTTGGGTGGCGTGAGCTGCGACGGAAGGCCATGTCCTGGAGATGGGCTGAGTTTCTGAGGGGGGCTTGCATTCTGCTGAGTTGGAGACGGTTGGTTCTGGTTCTGGTTCTGGTTCTGGGGGTGAGGGTGGGATTGAGGCTGCGGGGGCTGCGATGGCGGAGC